AACCCGATGTTGTCACCTGTAATATCTAATTTGCATACGAGTCTTAGGTGTGGTCATTAAGGCTTTGTTTCGCCCTTAGAATGCAGAACTATTATTGAAGATGCTTTTTGTAATGCATTAATGTTGGTACGATATCTTTTTTGTGTGACCTAAAGATCTTTTGTGATAATATACTACTACTACTACTTACCACTACTACCACTACTTACTACTTCTACTACTACTTCTACTACTACTGTTGTCATTTTTTGTAAGAACCATTGAACCAAAAAATGATAAAAGATAAAACAAAAGATAGTTGACCCAAAGTTAATTTAGTTGTTGAAATCACTCAGCGGGCCGAGAGAGGCTGCCTTTGTGAGACTCCGGTGCTGGTAACTGTGTGGTGCTGTGCTGCTGTTACTGCTGCCCGTCCTCTCCTCTCCTGTTTTGTGTTGCCTGGTGTGGCGCCGCTGGTCGCTCACACCTCTCGGCACAGATGTCCTTCTTCCTTCTTCGTCCTTTCTCCGTCCTTCTCCTTCGTCCTTCTTCATGCTTCTTTCCTTCTGTCCTTCTGTCATTCATGCTTCTTCGTCCTTCTTCACTTCTCTCTTCTCTCCTTCTCCCTTCTCCTTCTTTCCTTCGCCCTTCTCTCCTTCTCATCCTTCTCCACCCTTCTCTCCTCTCTTCCTTCTTCTCTATCCTTCTTCGTCCTTCTCCATGCTTCTCTCCTTCTCTCCTTTCATCCCTTCCTTTCGGTTTCGATCTTCGCCGCCATGCCCCCGTTCCCCAGTCCTCTATCTGTTTTCTCATCCACGCTGCTCGCGCTCTCTCTTTACGCCATTTTGTTTTGCTTTTTCGTTTGTTTTGTTGCTGTTTTTGTTTTGTTTTTGTTTTTGTTTTTCGCATAACCACACCAACCCATCGCCAACGACCCTTCAGCACAAGACACCATTTTATTGTCTGAATCTGCGTTCGCTTTTTTTTCATCTGCTTGCTTCATCTGCTGATTTTTATTTATTTTTTTCCTTATTTCTTTTGCTTGCTTGCTTCTCTCACTCTTTTTTTTTTTTTTTTGGTCTCTTGTTTGGTCTTTTTTCTTCTTTTCTTTCCCTGTTTGTTTCTTTATTTGCTTTTTGCTTACTTTTTTTCTTAGTCTTTTTTTATCTTTTTTTCTGATTGTTCTCTCTTTTTCCCTCTTCCTGCTCACTCTCCTCTTTTTGCCTTCTTGGTTCCACATTCTCCTTCCTATCTCTCTCTCTCTCTCTCTCTCTCTCTCTCTTCTCTCCTCTCTCTCTCTCTCTCTCTCTCTCTCTCTCTCTCTCTCTCTCTCTCTCTCTCTCTCTCTCTCTCTCTCTCTCTCTCTCTCTCTCTCTGCTTTCCTTGCGCCATTTTCCTGCCCGCTTGTTCCTTTTCCTTATCTATCCACCTGATTTCTCTTTTCTTGACTGTTTCCTCTCGTATTTCCCTTTTACCTGCTTGTTCTCCTGCTTTAGCTTGAGTGAATATTTTCCACCTGCTTGCTCTTTCCTGCTTGTCTCTTTTTTGCCTTTGTGTGCCTGTCTGCTTTTATTCCTATTCTATTATCACTGTTATCTCTGCTACTTTCATTTTCCCAAATTTTTATACTTGATTCTGGGTCTCCTCCCTTTTTTTTTTACTATTTTGTCTCCATTTTTCAATTATTGATTTTCGTTGTTTCTGTTGTTTTTTGTTGGTTGCTTCCCATACTCTAATTTCCTTTCATCGCTTCTATTCCATCGATATTGTTTTGGCATCTTGCTCTTTAAGTTCTGTTTCCTCTCTGCCTGCTCTCCACCTCCTCTTCCTCCCTCTCCCCTGCTGGCCATCTCCTCCTCATCTCCCGTCGCCCCTGCTTGCCTGCTTTGTCTGCCTGCTGCCACATCCGAGCCCTCCCCCTCCCCTCGCCCCCTCCCTCTACCCCTGCTTGCCTCCGCGCCCCTCCCCCCGCCGCCCTCTGCCTCCGGGCGCGTTTCACTGCCACTCGCTGGACGGGCGGCAGTGCCACGCTCCCTCCCCCTTGCGCAGTCCGCCCCCGACGCAGTGGCCGAGGCAGTGCCAGCCGTGTCCCCAGTTACCAGAACCTGCGAGCACTGCCGCGCGCATCACAGCGGCAGTGCCAGTGGTCGGATAGTCTCCCCCAAAAAATTTGAGAGTTGACCGCTGTGCCGTCTCGCGGAGGCGCGGTGTGGCAGTGACCGGCAGTTCGGACGAAGACCCTGGGACTCCTCACTGCCACACTCGCGACCCCGGTGGTAGCAGTGATGATATTACAGTACCATGGCCGTTCACAACTCCACCAGGGTGTGTACAGCAGTGACGATTCTTTGTCATCCTCACTGCTCCCACTACTAGTCACCATTGTGCTGGAGGATAACCTGCTCACTGCTCCGCCAGGGCGCGAGCAGTGGCGCCTCACTGCTCACTGCTCCGCCAGTCACCAATGTGTGGAGGGTAAACGTCGCTCTTTATTCTCCTTGCAGACTGCCAGATCAGAAACTCGCGAGCCGAGCCGGGCAAACGAGTCACCTCTCCTCCTCCTCCTCCTCCTCCTCCTCGACCTCTTCCTCCTCCTCTTCCTCCTCCTCCTCCTCGTCCTCGTCCTCCAGCTCCTCCTCTCCGTCCTCCGCAACCACGCCTCCTCCTCGTCCCCCTCGTCCTCCTCGTCCTCGTCTTCCTCCTCCCTCACCAGCAATAAGCTCCCCCCGCCCCTCCTGGATCCGCGCGCTCCTGCCCTGCCCGCCCCTCCCTCCGCCTCAGCACCGCCCGGCTACCCCCCCTACCCTGCCCACCACCACACCACCACCACGCCCACTACCAGGCTCAGGCCCAGGCACATGGAGGGCAGGCCCACGGCCTGGCCCACGCTCACTCGCAGGCAGCGCAGTCATATGGCGCCTGCTATCTGAGTCCGGCCCCGCCCCACCACCATTTTGCTCAGCCTAGCTCTACTACACTCTTCTCGCCCTACAATAGATAGTGAGTGCAACTCTCCCCTTTCATCATAGGCTCACCCCCTGTGTCGTCGCCCCACCCCTCCCCCTAGTCACCGCCAGCGTCTGTGCAGCGTGCAACGGCAGCAGCAATATTATTAGTCGCTTTATGTGGTTGATTCCAATCCTTTTTTATTGATTTTTTTTCTAAAAATATCCTTATTTTCTAAATTTCTTCATTGGTCCCTTTTCTACTTTTTGTTATCTTCCTCTGCTGCGCTTCCTTTATTTTTATTGATCCTTTCCTTTGTGTCGTGTTTTGTCTCTGTCTCCATTTCTAATTTATGTTTCCTTCTCTCATCCATCTCTCCTTTTCCCGTTTTTTCCTCTTCTTTCATCTTCATCTAAATGTTCCCTTCCGCCTCTTTACCTGCTTCCTCTCCTCTCTCCCTCTCCTCTCACTCTCCTCCTCTCCTCCTCCCCCCGTCTATGTGATCTCAATGTATATACATGTAGTGAGCCAAACCTCTCTCTTTCCTTCGCTGGACCTTGTCTCTCACATTCTCTCTCTCTCTCTCTCTTTCTCTTTCTCTCTTCAATTTTCACTCTCTGTCTTAAACTTTCTCTCACTCTTTCTTTCTTCAACTTTCTTTCTCTCTCTCTCTCTCTCTTCAACTTTCTCTCTCTCTGTCTTCTCTCTCTCTCTCTCTCTCTTCTCTCTCTTCATCTCTCTCTCTCTCTCTCTCTTCTGATCTTTCTCTCTCTCTCTCTCCTCTTTCTCTCTCTCTCTCATCTCTCTCTCTCTCTCTCTCGCTCTCTCTCTCTCTCTCTCTCTCTCTCTCTCTCTCTTCTCTCTCGTCTCTCTCTCTCTCTTCTCTCTCTCCTCTCCTCTCACTCCTCTCTCTCTCCTCTCTCTCTCTTACTCTCACTCATCTCTCACTCTCTCACTCTCTCACTCTCCTCTCTCATCTCTCTCTCTCTCCTCTCTCCTCTCTCTCTCTCTCTCTCTCTCTCTCTCTCTCTCTCTCTCTCTCTCTCTCTCTCTCTCTCAAGTCTTCTTATCCACAATATTTTATCTTCATCCATTCTTCTAATCTTCTCTGTGTGTTTTTGTTCGTTTGTTTGTCTTGGTTCTTTTGCTTTCAATTATCCTTGTTTATAAACCACCTCATTCCTTCATAGTGTGGGATGAATGCGTATATCTGTGTCTGTGTGTGTCTGTCATAATTGTGTGTATATTTATATGTCCGTACGAGAGGAGAGAGAGGAGAGTACGTGAAGAGAGAGAGAGATTGAGATTGAGAGAGAAGGAGAGAGAGAAAAGAGATTGCGATTGAGCGAAAGAACAAGGAAAAGAGAGCAGAGAACGAGAGAAGAGAGAGAGAAAGCTTGAGAGAAAGCGGAGAGAAGGAGAGAGAGAGAGAGAGATTGAGAGAAAGAGAGAGAGAGAGAGAAGAGATTGAGAGAAAAGAGTGGAAGAGCGTGTTTCAGTGTTAGTTTGTATGCATAGCGTCTGAATGTCCCAGCTTTTGTCCGTGTGTGAAAGTGCCCGCGTGTTAGTGTGTCATGTTAACCATCCCATTTTCCAGTGGTTTTCTTGCACTGAATTTTGTTTCTCTCTCTCGCTCTTCTTCTGTTCTCTCTCTCTCTCTCTCTTGCTTGAGCCTTCTCTTCTCGCTTTCTCTGTCTCCCTCTCTCTTGCTTTCTATGGCTCTCTCTCTCTCTTCTTTCTCTGTCTCTCTCTCTCTCCTCTCTCTCTCTCTCTCTCTCTCTCTCTCTCTCTCTCTCTCTCTCTCTCTCTCTCTCTCTCTCTCTCTCTCTCTCTCTCTCGCTCTCTCTCTCTCTCTTCTCTTCTCTCTCTCTCATCCTCTCTCTTCTCTCTCTCTCTCTCTCTCTCTCTCTCTCTCTCTCTCTCTCAGTCTCTCTCTTCTCTGTCTATTTGTCTCATTCTATATATTATTTATCCATCTTTTATTTTTTTGTTTGTTTTAAGTTCCACTTTTGGTTGCTCCCAAGAAACCAAAGGCGCCCCCCCTCCCCACCACACACCCCTACCCTCCCTCGCAGATGCTCACCTTTGCGTATGCCACCCTCGCAGATGCCTCTCCTTGCGTATGACCTTGCGTATGCCCCCCCCCCCCCATTCTTGTATGCACCCCAGAGTCTCAGCTGCCACTCTGACCATGTTCTCTCGAATGCCCCAATGCCTAGATGCCCGTCACCAACCCACGAGTATGCCCAGATGTATGCCCCTCCCACTCCTGGATGGATGAATGTTCAAGCCGAGGTTTAAATCTGCTTTGTGTATGCTTCCCTTTTCCCCCCTTCCTATCCCGTATGCCACTGTGCATAGCCTGGCTTTTCCCTTTACACAGTATGCCCTCCTCGTTGTAGTTCGTGAAGTATGCCCCCGTCTACTCTGTGTCTCACTTGTATGTCTCCGTGTCTGTTTGTTCCCACCCCTCCTTATAGCTTCTGATAATGTCTCTCTGACTGTCCTTTCCTTCTTCTCTTCCTCTCTCTCTCTCTCTTCTCTCATACTCTCTCTCTCGTCTTCTATTCATCTCTATCTCTCTTTCTTTCTTTCTCTTCATCTCTTTCTCTCTTTCGTGTCCCCTACCCATCCCTCTCGTTTTTTTCTATCTTTCCCACTCCCACTTTCACTTTTAATTATCTCGATCTCTATCTGTCAGTCTGTTTAAATGTCTACCCATTTAGCTATTTGCTTCCCAACTCACTCATCATCTAATCTATTTCGATCGAGATGCCTCTGTCTATCGATCGGTTTAATCGATCTATCTGTAGCGCTTTTTCTTATCTCCTTATATCTCGTTTTATCCTTATTTCTTTCTGTTTACTTGCTTCTCCTTTTTTTTCTTCTTTCAGTTTCTTGGATGTATCTGTTATTCTCTTTGTGCCTGTATATCTGGCTTTCTATCTATCTGTCTGTCTCTCTGTCTGGGCCTCTGTTTATATTTTTGTATCGTCTCTCTCTCTCCCTCTCTTCTCTCTTCTCTCTCTCTCTTCGTCTTCCTTCCCTCCCGCCTCTCTATCTCTCTGTCCTCCTCTGCTCTCTCTCTCCTCTCTCTCTCTTCTCTCTCTCTCTCTCTCTCTCTCTCTCTCTCTCTCTCTCTCTCTCTCTCTTCTCTCTCTCTCTCTCTCTCTTCTCTCTTTCTCTTTCTCTCTTTTCTCTCCCTCTCCCTCTCCCTCTCTCCTCTCTCTCTCCCTCTCTCTATCCCTCCCTCCTGTTCTCCTGCTCTCTCTCCCTCTCTCTCGTCTCTCTCTCCCCCCTCTCTCTCTCCTCCCCCTCCGCCCCCCCCCTCCTTGCTTGAGCTTTAGTTGAGTTAGACCACAATCAATGTTGGACCGCCAGAGTGTGTCTCCTTCTCCCTCTCTCCCGCTTCCTATTTTTATTATATTCCTTGTATCCCTCTTGTTTATGCCTCTTTTGTGTTGTTTTGTTGTTGTTTTTTTGTCTTTTCGTTTTTGTTTTTCTTCTGCTATTCCTCGCCTGGCCTTGCCCCCTCCCTCCCCCCTCCCCGCCTATATCCTATCCACTATCCCCTTCCTTTTCCACAAAATAGTTGTTGTTGTTAACCTATTCTCTGTAATTATTGTTGTTGTTGTTGTTGTTGTTGATGTTGATGTTCTTGATGTTGTGTGTCCTTTTTTTTTCTTTATTAAGATACATATATATTTTTTTTCTCGACGTTTGTGCCCAGTCCCTCCCAAGGCGTTTCCGTGTAAGCATGAACTTTTTTTTTTTAAGGAATTCAGTCGAGTTATTCAGTCAGTCAGTCTGTCAGTCAATCCAGTCAGTCAGATCTCGTGACGTCATGATCTCGATTTGGAGGATTCGCTATATAGTGTACTTTTTTTTCTTCTTTATCTATTTATTTATCTGATGTTTATTTATTCGCATGAAAATCGCACACGAATAATGTCCTTCGAGCGACTGGGCATAAAGATGAGAGTCCCATGTCATTCGTCTTTAAAATGACCTTTATAGATGTAGCAAAATTGATTTACAAATGTTTATACTTGTATTACTTGATTGCCGTGTTTTTAATCGTTGTTATCTATACTGAAATAGTTTAGGATTTTTTTTAGGGGAGGGGGATGTTAAGGGGATTTTTATCTTTCCTTTGACCTTTCTTTCTCTTTCTTTCTCTTCTCCTCTCTCTCTCTCTCTCTCTCTCTCTCCTCTCTCTGCTCTCTTCTCTCTCTCTCTCTCTCTCTCTCTCTCTCTCTCTTCTCTCTCTCTCTCTCTCTCTCTCTTCTCGCTCTCTCTCTCTCTCTCTCTCTCTCACTCTATCCCCGTCTCTCCCTTTTTTACCTCTACCCGTTCTCTTACCTACCTTCCTTCCCTCCCTCCTCTCTTCCCCTCTTTCTCTCTCTCTCTCATCATTGCCACCATCCTTCCTGCTCTCTCTCTCTCTCTCTCTCTTCTCTCTCTCTTCTCTCTCTCTCTCTCTCTCTCTCTCTCTCTCTCTCTCTCTCTCTCTCTCCTCTCTCTCTCTCTCTTCTTCTCTCTCTCCGTCTCTCCCCTTTTTCTACCTTACCGTTT